GCCCAACAGCCCCTTCTGCACAGAAATCCTTCCTCAGAGCCAGCCTGACCCTGCCCTGGGCAGCTTGAGGCCATTCCCTCGGGGCCTGGCGCTGGCTCCTTGCCTCCAGAGACTCATCCCCCCTCTCTGCCCCCTCCTGGCAGGGAGTTGCCGAGGGCCAGGAGGTCTCCCCTCAGCCTCCTCTTCTCCAGACTGAACCCCCCCAGTTCCCCCAGCCGCTCCCCAGCAGACCTGTGCTCCAGACCCTGCCCCAGCTCCGTTGCCCTTCTCTGCCCACGCTCGAGTCATTCAATGGCCTTTTTGGGGTGAGGGGCCCAGAACTGAACCCACTCATCGAGGGGCAGCCTCCCCAGTGCCGAGCCCAGGGCTCTGATCCCTTCCCTGTCCCTGCTGGCCACGCCAGTGCTGACACAAGCCAGGATGCCATTGGCCTTCTTGGTCCCCTGGGCACACTGCTGGCTCCTGTTCAGCCGGCTGTCAATCACCCCCTCACGTCCCTCTCTGGCTGGCGAAGATCAAATACTCAGATCAAATAGTCAGTGTTCGGGTGTAGAACTGAGGTGCTCGTGTGTCCTCCCTGGTATACAGCTGTGAATTGCCCCATTTCACAGCAGACTGGCTATGTACCTGGCCAGTACCTCCAGTGGGGCATCTCAAGGTGCTTTTTGGTCGCTTTTAGGAAAGCCCATGTGCTGAAAGGCCTGTGCTAACAGTTGGCCTAATGCGCATTGCTCTGTTTGTTGTTTTTAAACAGATGGATCTCTCCGTGGAAACTCTTTATAGCTTCATGCAGGAGCGCCAGAAGAAGTATGCCAAGTATGCAGAGCAGATCCAGAAGGTCAACGAGATGTCTGCCATCCTCCGCCGTATCCAGATGGGCATCGACCAGACGATCCCACTGATGGAGCGCCTCAACAGCATGTTGCCCGAGAGCGAGAGGCTGGAGCCCTTCAGCATGAAACCCGACCGGGAGCTGAAGTCTTAGCTGATCCCAGAGGCTCCCCCTTCCTCACCTTCTGTGCTCCGGCGTCCAGCACAGACACGCTTCCAACGGGCTGGACTGGCAGATGCTTGAAGCGGACGGCGGTGCTGCCTGACTCTCTGCCAGGCCGTCGGAGGAAGAGCAGCGTCAGCTGCCAGAACTGTGCAGCCAGGAATCCAGGAGCTCCCCGGTCCCGTCGTCTGGAGAAGATGATTTACCATTCTTTCATCTCCCTCCTCTTGCCCTCCTGTCTCCTTCACTACCACCGCCTGTGCCGAGACATTTCTTTCCTTGCTGTGACTAGATTGGGGTTTACAGAGGAGTTTTCTTTCATCTGGGTTTTGGTTGTTTTTTTTTTTACTAGAAAAATTCAAAGGGATACAGGGTGTGATAAACCCTCTCACATGGTTTTTGCACCACTGGGGTTTAGACAGTTAGATGGCTGGCAGGTATTTCTGAGATCCCCTGGCCTCAGAAATACGTGTGTTTTATGGGTGAAAGTGCGGGAGCCAGGAACTGGCTTATTAAAATCTGCCTATTGTCATAATTAATGTGGTTTGCATGGCAGGGTTTTGGCACGTCCTCCTTGAGGCTCCTGTTTTTTTTATGGGCTCACTAATTTATGAGGCTGTAAAGGAATAACTGTTCCAGATATGTCTGCTAATGTTAAGCAAATCTTCGCATTCCTCTTCCCCCTTGCCCTGGCAGTGTCCCCGTGGTGGCATTTTGTGTCCCTCACCTTGCACGGTGATTCTGACAGGCACTCGCACTGAGCTGCTCACTTTGCATCCCAAAGCTGGACATCAGGTGTCTTTTTTTTCTTACGTTTTTATTGGGACACTCCAGTTACCTTGGTGCTGTCTTTTTTACCACAGGGGATGAAGTTGTTTTTGTACCTTCGAGTGTTACGGAGTTGGAGGGGGCAGACATAAGAAGTCCTTTAGGTCTTTGCAGTGGTTTAGCTGATCTCAGCCCAGAGCTCACCTAAGCGCAGTGTTTCATGACTGAAACCACGTGGCCCTTCAGGGCTGCACTCAGCAAACTGCTCCAAAGGCCACAGGGTGGTTTTTGTCTTCTCCAGAGCCAAGGGCCCTGCTGGAAGTCAGGTGGGGTGTCCGTGCACCGGGGTGTCCACACTGCCCGGGCCCTGCTGGGCTGGCCCGTAGGAGATGGGTTGGTTGCCAGTTCTTCCCCAGTCTGCTGGCTGCAGGTGATTTGTAGCACCTCTCCGAGCTTTGGTTTCTCCCTTTATAAAACAGGGGGGATGTTTTACACGCTGCTGTAAAAATATTTATGGATCTAGAAATAGGATTTAACAGCCAGTGTCACCATTGCTCTTGTTTGCAGCAGGAAGAGGGTGAAACCACAAGTGAGGAGCCCTTGGTTTGCTGGGTCAGGGGTAGGTTTGTGGGTGTTGTGTTAGTCTCAGGACGCTGTTGCTGGTGAGGAGGCTGAAGCAGTGCCCGGGGACCCCAGGGGTGGTTGGTTGTGTGTCAGGAGCACAGTTCCAGTGGCAAGGACAGCCCTTTTTGAGGGAGTCAGCAATGACCCATCTTCCAGGCCAGCACAAACCTAGGCAGCTTGCCAAAGGTGACTTGCTTTGATACCTCTTAGAGCTTAAGAGCACTTAATCAGCAAAAGATTGTCTCTGAGCATTTGGGAATAAGAGCACAGTAGGTTTTTGATGGTATTAATTACTGCCTGGTGGCAGGAAGCAACAGGCTGTTCTCTTGTTGCATTCCCAAAGGCCGTGTAGCCTAGGGTGAATTTTTGTGACGCAGACTGCAGCCAACTTAGGTGTGTATCGGAACCATAGTGGTGATTGGGCCCCGGAGCCTGCTGAACTCTCTCTGAAAGCAGAATCCTGTAGAAATGAAGCCCTCTGGAATGATGCCCTGGGAAGAGCGATGCCTCAGAGAGGGCAAGGAACTCAGCAGGAGATTTTTCTAGTAAGGGCAGCAGTGTGGGCCTTGTCTGCTTCTTCCATCCCAGAGTTGTTAGGTTGTATATACATAGGTGTACGCTGTATGTTGCACAGGACTATAACGTCGGGTTTCCATCCTTCCTCACCCACCCTGCAGTATTTTACACTTTGTTAAAAGCTCATGTGAGACTTAACAACCCATAAAAATCTTCTTTGTTGTGGCCACACCCACGAGGGTCCTCGCTGTCCATCGTGGAATATGTCTCTGCCTCCCGTCACCAGACACACCAGAATATGCAGCAGCTTTAAATAGCAGCTGCTGGAGGGGTTTTTTTGTCCTCTTCATCCAGATGATGCTGTCTGGAAGTTTAGAATGTGCGACATTCAGCCGTCTGCCAGGCAGGATCATGGATATCCCACACCCCGGCGTGCTGGAAGCCTATACGGGTGGGAAGATCCTGGTGTTGGATCTCGAGGCAGGGGCCGGGCTGCAGATGCTCTCTCCTGTAAAGCTTCTGGACGTTTGGCCTCGTGCTATTGAGTGTCAGATCAAAGCATTGCTCCTCGCGGCGCTAATGAGGGCGAGCGAGTAGAATTCCCCTCTGAAAGCTGCAGGAGGGCTGCAAATCAGTTCCTTCCTTATTTTGCTATAAAACACTTAGACATTGGGCTGATAATGGGAGATGGCCTTTAGGCTTGGGGATGTGCTGCTGGGCCTCCCAGCTGCAGCTCTCTGAGCAGCAAGTTGTGGAAAATGCTAATAGCTTAACAGCAATCAGAGCTGGAACACAAAGGCCAACCTCTTCCAAAGCCCACAGGTTGTCAGCTTCATCCCACAGGTGGTGAAGTGTTGTGTGGGTACTGTAAGGTAACGTGCACCCTCTGACCTCTCCAGTGATGGTTTACAGTTTTATTTAAAACATTGTCACTGGCTTCATTAACTGTAAGTCTTTGGACCTCTCACTGAGGGGAAGGCGTTTCCTGGCCCGTCTCCTTGAGCTGCTGCTTGTTGCTTGGCTGCTCCTCGCTGGCTTTGCTCTGTGTGCTGCTGTCAGCTCCATCTCCGGTGCAGGTGATGCTCAAGGTGAGACTGTTGCTTTACTCCCTTTCCCACTGTTGAAGAGATTTGAGATGTGACTGGAATTACCTTTTTGCTTATAAATCTTCTTTTCCAAGCCAAATGCTGTTGGAGAAGGCCTCAGGTATCTCTCACAAATGTAGTAGCCATTACTTCTGCCACAAAATAATCTGGTGTGCTCTGCTGAAAACACATTTCTGCCTTTTTCTGCTTTCTGGTCTGAAGTAGAGGCTAAGCTTCTTGAAATGCAAACTCCTGCAGTGCTGGAGAACAGGGCGAGTCTCTGGGTCTGTGGTTCCCCTCTGGCCTGAGCTGCTCTGGTTCTTCCCGACCCTGCTGCTGCCACCCTCCCTTTTTGTGCTGGTGCTTGTTGCACCCGAGGCTGGTCAGTGTGCTACACGCACAGGAGAGGTTTGCTTTGTTGTTTTTGTTGTTTTTGTAATTTAATGCATTGACAGGGTGCTAAAGTGCCAACCTACATGCAGGGCAATTTCTGTGAAGGTCTGGTGAGGGGGACAGAAAATAGTTTTCGGGTTTTTAAAAATATATGTATTTTAAATTAAATATATTTAAATATATTTAAATATTTAAAAGTGTGTTTTCCCCTCCTCTAAGCTTTTACACAGAGTAGAAATAGACGTTTTTCACCGGCCCGGTTGTTGCGTGAGCCAGCCCCTCCCTCTCAGACCGAGTGCCAGAGGTTTCCTGAGGTACCATTGTAACGTCCCTCCCGTTCCCGAGCTGCCCGGGTGTATTTTGGTTACCAGCCTCGTGGCTGAGCACCCCTTGGTTTATGGGTGGTTATCCTCTTTGCAGACTTGCTCTCTCCTTTCGGCTCCCTACATGCTACGTGTTCCACAGCTCCAGCATTAAAACGTTTGGTATCACTCTTTTCCAAGTGTGGTGTTTCTCCGATCGCTTTAGCGTGGGAGGTCGGATTTGAGCTTTACTGCTTTGTACACGGAACCCACCTTCCTGCCGTGGAGACTCAGCTCTTCTGGGGGCTGCAGGGAAACGTATGTCCCAGAATGAAAATAAACGTTGGGGGTTTTTTGTTGCTGCTGTCACAACTCTGTGGTGTGAGACACTCTCTGCCTGTTTCATTAGGGCGCTTTCAGAAGACTAAAACACGAGCAGCAAAGCCTTTCTCATGTATTTCCACACCCTCCCCTGGCTTATCTCCCTGTCAAAAAGAGACCGTGTCCTGACAGATGCTTTCCAGCAGGTCTTTGCCAGCTCGCAGGAGGAACTAGAGCTGGGCATTTGGGGTTGGCTTTCGGGGTGGCCCCTGCCCTGTCAGCTGCTCGTCTCCTACCCATTCTTCACACATCACTGAATGGGTCGGTTTGCACTTTTAGCCAAAGTTCAGCCTCTTTAGATGGTCTGTGGTGCTTCTCTGGGGGCTGTTGGGTTGCTTTTCTGCTGCCACAGTTAGGTTTTGACTTCTTCAGAACGTGAACTCACACAGACCAGCCCGACCCACAGAAAGAACGGCTCACCCAAAGCCAGGGCAGGTCTGAGGTGGTGATGGACACACTCAGCAAGCAATTCGTCATGTCAGCTGCCTAAAATAACCCTTTGTGTCTTTTTAAAAGCTTTGTATTTTAACAGACAGACAGTGAGCACTGACCTGGGGAAGTTGTGTACATGGAACACGATGGCCTACGACAGGACAGAGACACAACCAGCAAATAGATGAGGATGGCCGTAGATTTTGTCAAAACGTGACTCCTAGTTGGGTATGTGAACAGCTACTCGATAAAGAGGTGGATTTGAGAGAAATTCCCAGTGCAGCTCACCTAGCAAAAGGGCTGCCCTGGCTCAGGGGTGGGGGGGAGCTGGTTGTAGACAGGCCCCTGTAACCTGCAAAGCAACCTGCAGGAAACAGGTTTTTCTTATCAACTTAAAAGAAGGGGTGGTTTAGAGGAGAATTAAGTGAAGGTACCTCCAGCAGAATGCTGTTCTCCAGGAACTGGGAAAGCAAAGCAGTGATGGACTCTAACCTACTGCCCAGGGAGTGCTGAACAAAGAGAGATGTCAATATATAGGGATTTTTTTTTTTTAAAGTGATTGGATGCCCCAGCCTCATTCCTGCCTGTACTATATCATGGCTTCGTGCAGCGCTGGAATCCACACCTCAAAGTGAACAATCCCTCCCAGCAGGGCAGTTCCCTAAAAGCCTGTTTTACAGCATTTTATATCCTAGGAAAGCAGCCCCTTCCCAGAGGGGTGGGTACTGCAGGCTGGAAATAGCTCCCTTTATTTTATTTATATACTCAAAGTGCAGAATAGCCAAAGGCTTCACTGCAGAAACACTTGTTTTCCTGAGAGCAACCGTCTGGGCCCACAAATTCTCTGCAGGCCTGGTTCAAAGGGAAAGGCTTTTATATGTTACGAACACAGTTCTTCTGAGTTCCCAGCTGTGGGTTTGTGTGTATAATGTAATGGTGGTATTATAATGCTATAATGTCTGAAAGTACTAGAACTACTCTAGTTTTACCTTAGAAGCTTTAAGAACAAATAACAGGCCAGCTAGGTTGGTCCCTGTTTAGTCAAGGTGCGGCTAATTAAAATGGCTTAGGTGAGTTTGGCTCAGTGGCAGTAATTGCAGGTTTAAAAAGCAGCAGTAACGGCCTTATTTTAGGACTCCAGTGCTGTCCCCAGAAGCACCAGGCCCCTGATCTGGGCTTTTGATCCCACCACTTTCTGGCAGAAATCAATTTATACCTTGTGCTGTGAGTCAGAGCGTAACGAGCAGCGAACGTATCGTTAGTAAAAACAGCAGCTCAGGTAATTACCGCATTTTTTTTTGTTGTTTTCCCCTCTTCCTTACCTGCCCCTGCAGCCCCCTCAGAAGCAGGGCTACCTGATCCATGCTGGGGGGAGGTTTGCCCTGTTTTCAGTCTGCTTTGCTCTAGGAACGTCACTGTGATGGCTGCATCAAGAGCCTGGTGACCTCTGGGACCTTTTCCCAGTGATGCCAGTCGATGGAAATTAAATGTTGATGACATACATGAGACACTTCCTAGGGTTTCTGGCTGGAGCTGGAGTCGGACTGTCTCCTCACAGAGGTGTCTGCGGGCAGGGGCACGAGGGGAGGGATGGAGGGAACAAGAGCAGAGCGTGTCCTGCGAAGCAGGCAAAAGGCAGAGTGGTGAAAGCTGAAGCACGTGCTTCAAAAACCAGAACTTGAGGGAACACACAGCTGGGCTGAGCTGCTGGGGTCAGAAGTGGACTCTGGAGTAGGGTGAGGGAAGCTAGAACAAGGAAATCGTAGAAGATAGTCAAGTCAGCCTGGTTTGGAGGCTGACTTAGGGACTGATATTGCATGTGATTCTTGCTTTACCATGCCATGGATGCAAGTGTTCGCTCTTAAGAGCTGTAGAAAGTAAGCACAGAGATTCATGCAGGTTGTAACTGTGCTCTGGCTGATGGTACAGTCTCTTCTAGAGAGGCCAAAGATTCTGCATTTCCCTTTCTGGGATTATGCTTTGAAATTCTCTTTTAAAAAAAAAAAATTTAAAAAAAAAGATTCTGTTACTGCACCTGAGTTTGAAAAGGCTGTTACACCACAGCAGCTACATTCTACTGCAGGATTTAATTTTAATTTAAACTCCAGCTGAAGGAGCAATGAGGGACATACCCCTCCCTCAGCAACCAGAAGTCGCTCTGAATGCTTCAGGATGGGCAGAATCAGTCAAAACAAATATTTAAACAATTAATTAAATTCTTCTTCAAATCAAAAGTATGGAAGGCAAGAAAAACCACGGGGTTCATTCTAGGGAACTTAATTGGAAATATTTGCTGCAGAAGGACTAGCACAGCTGCCTTGGGAAGAGCTTCCTCAACAGTGTGAGGTGTTAATGCAGAGAAGTGCCATCCGAGGGAGCAGAAGCTGGGGGAGAGGGGAACAGGTAAGAGGCCTCAACTGTTACTGGTGCTGTAGAATCCCCACCACAGGCTGGGGGGTGTGTGTGTGTGTGTAGGCACACAGGCTCCTTCCTCAAGCCGTTCTATATAAACAGGTACCATTTCTGATTTTATTTCATCGTAACATACAGGTAATGCTCATGACACAACAAGATGAGAAACTCACATCGCTCTGAACCATTTCAACAGCTTGCCATACACCAAAGAACATGATACTCGAACACGGACACGTTTCCCACCTCACATCCTCCACTTCGCTTCCCAAACTTCTACAAACCATTTCCAGCATTGTTCAGGTACAGGACACTAGTTCAGGTAGGAGATGGGGGGGTGGTTAGGGCTTCTTCCTACGGGAACCCCTCCCCTCAGAATACCGAGCTGACAGCTTTGATTCATTCAGTGACTGTAGCATATTGGAAATCACAAAACTAGGTTTCAGTTCCTCAGAAGGCAATTAAGACAATTAATCCAACAACATGATGTGTAGAGAGAAGAGGAGCACACACGCATGTGAGGCAGCACATTCTGATTTGTGTTAACCCCCATTAACTGATTTAAACCAAAACCAGGGGCTTTTACTGAAATCTGGCTGAGAGGAACACTGCTGAACTGTTTACGCAGGTATATACACACACAGAGTGTGTACAGATGCTGAAAAGTTGTAATGCTAATCACTTTCACTCGCTGTGTAAACAGAGACGAGTGGCAATACGTTTAATGAACAGCCAAGACCCGACATGTTTTCCAGTGTGGTGTCAACCTCTCCCTTGACCAGGCTCCCCCTTCTTCCAGCGTCTCGTACACGCAGCACGAACACAGCCTCTGGCTTCAGTTACTCCTGGTGCTGTCTCTCTGTGCCTTTTGCATTTGTTTTAGTTATTTTTTTTTTTTTAGGATCAAGTTAATCAATGCTGTAGCTTTCAGTGCTATTTTCAACAGTCCGCTGTAGGAAATTAAAAGTCACATCCTAGCCACAAAACAAAACAATGACAAAATCTTCTCCACTTCTCAATATAGTAAAACCTGAGATTTGAGTCACAAACTAACTAAACTTACAGTAAAAAAAAAAAACAAACAAAAAAACAAAACACAAAACCAAAACATAACCCAAGCTGCTGACTTGAAGTAGGGCTTCAGTTTGCCGCTGACATTTTTTTTTTTTTTTTTAAAGCTGTTGGCCAGGGATAAGTATTCATTACACGTGATTTACAGTTTTCAGGTGCCTGCACTGAAATGGGACAAAACAATATGGTTTCCCCCCAAGACACGGGTGCTGGGGAGGCCAAGCAAACGCGTGTGGCTCCTGTCAGAGCAGGAAGGACGAAGCGCTGCCCCTCGCTGGCCATAAACCTCTTGCAGCAACGTGTGTCTGTAAATTGGAGCCGAGCTGCTGCACGGAGGGGGAGCAGCTGGTTTGCTGTCAAAAACACCCCGAGAAGGGCTGTGCCTCATCTCCCCCGGAGAAGGAGGAGCCGTGGGGTGGGAGGAGCACAGGGTTCCCCTTCAAGCTGCCTCTTCTCAAACCCCCTTTTCTGTCACACCACACGGAGATGGGACCCGGGAGGTTGTGTCCCATTTTCTTCAGCCAGCCCGACTGATTTTTTTTTTTTTTTCTGAGATAAAGTCAGCAAAACTAATGACAAGCTTCTATCTCTGTGGTCCCGTGGTTTGGGTGAGGACACTGGGATGAGAAAAAAACCCAAACCACCACTTGAGTTACCCTACCCACGGATGGCTGGAACCATGGAGGAAGAGCAGTTCCTTAGTGAGACTAAGCCCATCCCAACTCATTTTAGCAGTTAAAAAAACCCCAACAAACCTTCAAGAGCCATCTAGTGAACTGTCAATGTTGCAGTGTTGTACCAGCCACTTCTCCTTCACGTAACCCTAACTATTAACCACTCCATTAGAGCTTAGAAGCCAAAGCAGCTACCCCTCTCCCAGAAGCCAGTTTAATATTAAAAATACAAATACGGCTTATTTTATCTTTCAGAAGACTGGGGGAAACGGTTGTTAAGTGTGGTTCATTTGTCCTTTTTAAGAATTGCTGCTGAGCCAACTGAAACACTTGTGCGTAGACAGCTTTAAAAAAAAAAAAAAAAAATAAAATCAAACGTGGCTAGTCATTACTTGTTCACATTGCTTATGAACTGACTACCAGCATCTGGCAGCCATAAAGCCCTAGTTTATATTTTTGAGGTACTGGGTTTTTTTTTTTCTTTTTTTTTCTCTGAAGCAGCTCTCTAGCGAATCACCTAAAGCCTATCCATTAGAACAATAGTTACACCAGTATTTACATTTGTCTGAACGGGTGTGTTCAGACCAGCCTTGCTGTAACCAGTCCCTACGTCCTTTGGAACCGCTCCCAGTCTCCTTTCTGACGGGCAAAAGGTCTCCCTCCAGAGGTTGGCTCAGTGTCAGGGCTAAGGTGCACAGGTGAAGGCGTGGGGCACGAGGAGGGGAGAACAAAACCAGCTCTGATAGATCGAAGCGTGTTTCAGTGGAACCAGAGGTTGGATCCCAAGAGAGCTTCCTTTTTTTTAAAAAAAAAAAAACCCACTGAAAAGATGTGCAATCCGTTGCATAGAATCACTCCCTCTGTCAGGGAAAGAGCTTTGAAATGTTTTGCCCTTCTCCAGGGAAAGGGGAGGAGAAAAGCCCAGCGCTACGCTCGGTCTCCTCGGGCAGACACTCGTCATTTCTTCGCCGTATTCATCTAGTCACCGCGTTCACACCGAAGCCTGGCGTTTCTTCCCTCCCCCCTTCCCCACCTTTTTTGCACAAAGCTTGTTCTTTTTCAGATTTCTAGGGGGAGCAGCCTGGAGGGGGAAGCAGCTCTGCTAGCCAGTCCCACAAGCCTGCTGCCCCTCAAGACACTTCAATGATTTCCATGCTGCCTGAAAAGCTCGACTGACTGCCTACTTTCCCCAGTTCTTCTCTGGATCTGTTGTCTGACAGGATGCTCTCCCCAAACTCCATCTGGCAGCTCCTGCGCTTAAACTGCTTCTCGAAGGAGCTCTCCTCGTGCCAGCTGCGCCGGGAGTCGCCGCGGTCGCCCTGCTTTGCCCTCCTGCGCACGGCGGCGCAGGCCGGCTCGCAGCCCGTGGGCAGCTGGCTGCAGCTGTAGGCAGAGTAGGCAGCGCTGCTCCCGTAGATGGCAGAGGCGGAGTAGAAATGCGAGGACTCGGTGGCAAAATACCAGCTGTTGGTCAGGGAGGCGGTCGAGGTCTGAGGAGCCAAGATGTCCGAGTGCCAGCCTTTGAGGCCCAACCCAGCGGCGGATTTTGCCAAGTGCTGCTGGCTGGTGGAGAGCCCGAACAAGAAGTTCGTGCGGTAGTTGTCTTCCACGCTGCCGCTGCGGTGCAGGGGGGAGAGGAGCGAGCGCTGAGCGGTGGCCCCGCCGCTGCCTCTCCCCAGGTGCTGCCGTTTGCTCTGGCTGTCCAGCTGCCAGGTGGTCGGGGGTTTTTTGGGAGGGTTCGCTTCCTCTTTGTCAGGGCTGGTTTCGGGGGTTTGCTCCGAGACCTCTTGGACAGGGGAGAACTGACACAACTTGCTGCTGCTCTCTAAAGCAGAGGCGTGTTTGTAGTATTCCAGGGTGTCTTCGGAGGCGGCGAAGCCCTGAACCGACGCGGTCACGCAGCTGCTGCTTGTCGAGTAGGAGACGGATTTAATATCCAAAGAAAAGGAGCGTTTCAGGCGGTTGCTGTCTTCCACCTTATCCAGGGAGACGTGCAGTCCGTTTATGCCCTGTACCAGCGGGCCATCTTCCAGGGGGGACAGATGCCCGCGGGGTGCCGGGCTGCAGTCCGTCAGCTTCTGTTCCACCAGCTCGGAGGTAGCGGTAATGCAGAGCTGGTTGGCACAGAGGCTGCTCTGCCCGCCCTCCGCCACCAGCGTGTGCTCGCTGCTTTTTTCCAAGTGCAGAAGTTTCAGCTTGCTAATGTGTCCAGGCTGAGCGCTCTGGTTCTTGATCTTTTTCTCAAAGTCCAACAGCTGGCCCAGGAAGTTGAAGTTGGGAGAAATGGTTGGCCTTTTTTCTTTCACAAATCTGGAAAGAGGGGGGGGGCAAACAAAACCAGAGTTAATTTAAGGACCCCGCTGTTCAGACCCTAGAGCAATCACTGTGAGCAGTAACGGCCTAAGCTTAACTTGTCAGGCTGCCTGGACTAAGGTCAAGCGCAGGAAACATGTATGGGAAAAAAAACCAAACAAGCAGTTTTTCAACAAGGTAATGCTGGAGGCTCTCAATTCTCTGTGTAGCGTATTAAAAGGTGGCGGAAAAAAAAACAAAACAAAGCATTCTTTTTACTTCTTTATGATGTCCAAGGCAAGGTTTGTGTGAATTACTGTACTTCACCAGTGGGATCTCTGCTGCCTCCATTTCTGACCAGAGTTAAGGGTTCCTCAAGTGCTGCAAGAGCAGCCTCAGCACTCCAGCCCAGCGCTGCAGAAAGCAGACCACCCTGCCCACCCTTCACAGGGCTGAAATCCCCCCGTTCCTTTCACCTCCCTCTTGCTGCTGTTACGGCAGTGAGCACTTCCTACCCTCTATCTTTGTCAGGAGGCAAGACAAAGCTCCGATACATCCTGACCTTATACAGCAAATGTCAGTCCTCCTCTTGTTTTGTTTTGGTTTTTTTAGACAACATTCCTGGAACTACAATTGAACCAGACGACAAGGGAATTAACAAGGGAAGAAACCCTGAGGAGTTAAATCTAGTACAAACACACATACATTGTATCACTGGGAAAATTAAATAGCATTAAAAATAAAATCTCTCCGGGGATGCGTACAGAAGCTGAGTGTGCAGTCCTTAAAAATGGCGTGAGAAAAATTCAAAGGTGTGCTTGTGTGTATGTGTATACACTAGCACAAGTGCAGGCGAGCACATCAAAACTATCAAACAAAACTTGCATTTAAAAAAAAAAAAAAAATTAAGTTGCTGATGTGATGACTTGGAGTGACAGGTTGCACAGACTGGTAGAGGAAGCTTTCACCATGAAGGGCAACACTGTCAAATGGAGAAAACTAGTAAGTCTCCTCAGGAGAGATACTTTAGCTTGATCTCTTCGCATTTAATTTGGGGGCTTTTATTCCAGCCTAAGCAACTCGCTCACAAGAATTCATACTGTCTTCGTCCATTTTTTTCCAGTCAAAGCTAGTTGTACTTGTTATTGGGTTATTTAAAACAAGTTCCTTCTGGTCTACATTGCAGTTTCTGGCCTGTGGTCTGGTAGCCTCTCCACATCCAAAACTCTGTTCCTTCTGCTTTCTTCTCATCTCGCTCCAAAATATTGGGCGGTCCTAAATTTAAAACTGGCTTTTTCAAAAAATGAAAACGGGTACAAGAAAGTCTGCTGGATTCCCCCTGACAAGTTTTAAGGCTTTGCAAACTTTCTGATTTCAAAACGCACGCTCTTTTTTCCAATTGGAAAACATGCATAACATTTAATTTGATGTTTATTTCCCCTTGGTATGGTCTGTTGTACAAAAGAAAAGATTAAAAACATTTATTTCTTCAGATCTTTCACTTCAAGTAACAGTGTCACCTTTTCATTTTTGTAAGAGTGTCAGACAAACATTTTACCTAATGACTTTCATTAACTCAAGAGTAAAATATTTTTCTTTCAAGCTTTGCCAACAAGGGATCCCAAACCAATGAGGGAAATGTGCTGCAGATGGTTCTTGCTAAGCCATATCAAAGGAAATACAGCAAAATCTAATCTAAATTTCACAGTAGTTGTTCAGTATCTGCAGTGCAAAGAGAAAAAAGGTCTAGCACGATGAATCCTGCACACTCAATTCATGCTTCTGGTTAAGAAATAAACTCGAATTTAATGCAGAGACTTCACGGAGGAATTTAGAAGCAGCGCTTTAGAAGTTCCCTGAGGCGTGTGCATTTTAGAAGCGTTTAGTACCCTACAGCTCTAACCTCCAGACCACAAAAGCCTGAGACCAGACAGGACTTTCCAGTCACTCACGCTCATACCTTGCACAGTACCCAGCCTCATCCACCAATTCATCCATACTCCCTATATTCCTGTCACTGAGTTTTCAGCTACACCTCTTAACCAAACCTCTTTCACTGTACATGTTGAAATTACTGCACACCACCAAGTAGGAAACGGCGGAAATGTCCTAAAGGCGATTTTAGAGGTAGTTCAGGCACCTCTTAGGTGCACTTTTGTCACTACATACGTAATTATGTTCCTTGGCTTAAAAGAAAAACGCCCCACGGAAATCACGCTCCGCAAGGGAATAATCAAACGTTCCTCCTGTCCTCCTCAGTGTTGTAGAGGTGGTGGTGGCAAACACACAGTGATTTGGAAGATACTACACACACACACACACACACACTTCGAAGTGCTGCTGCGCAACGTGCGTTACGGCGATGCATCAGCTGTGCCACTGAGCCCACCGAAAAAGAAACCCCTAATTCTCCGTACAAAACAACAAAGCGGTTTGTTCAATGAAACACAGGAGTCGTGGTGAACTGTAACCAAGCCACCTGGAATGTAGTAAAGTGTTCACAATCCCCAGTGTAGGAAACACGGGATTTGAAAGGTTAAAAAGTGGAGGGGTGGGAGGGAAGGGGGTCTCCACAAAAATTCCCCAATGCCACAAAGAGCTGATACTTCAAAATACTTTCCCCCCCCTCAGAGTTTTTGGTTGACTTTAACAGCAACAAAGAAGCTTTCTTAATTCCTAGACGTTTCACCTGCAGGCAGTTCTTTGAGAGCATTAACGAATACCAACCGGCCTCAGCAGCCCCAGCCCAGCGTTTGTCGTGAGCGTGATTATAAATATCCTCAGTTTTTCTTTAACCCTGTCCATTCCATTCCCTCTCTGAATCCCAAGATACTGTTCTGTGCAGGCTACGGCTGTGTCTGTATATTGGTGTACACACACACACGTTTAATAAGCAGTTTAAATTCCTTGTATTTGCCGACTCGGAGCAAAGACCAACAGCAGCATTTGGCAGGTGGGTAATTAATATTAGCTGTGTGATGCCCACACACCACCATTAAATTGTTTATGGAGGAAGCCTTCATTTAAAAGCAAGACAATGCAGAGGCCAGTGAGCCACCAGGTAAAGTAACATGCTTGCTTGGTCATAAAACCTGAAATGTTCACCTTAAAAACAAGCCAACAGGCACAAGAATTAGTAGGAAGGGAAATTTTCTCCTTACCTGTAAGCTTCATCTAAGGACATATCCATTCTCTTCATGATATATGCAATAGCGATTGTGGCAGAGCGAGATATTCCAGCTAAACAGTGCACTAACACGCGGCCATTTGATGCTTTTGCTTTTTCTACATAGCAAAGAAATTGGCAAGTGTCAAACTCGGCAGCATTACCACCCCCACGAAAAGTTTGCAAAGAAAGCAACGTTATTTAAAATTGTTCAGAACTTCCAAATGAACTGCTAACTGCAAATCTCGTGGAAGCTTTAAACAAAAATCACTTCTTTTCTCCAGCACTGTATAACACCGAGTACAGAAAAAGCAGGCAACTACACAGGAAACACACTGCAGTTACAGCGTTTTAATGTGCACATAAACAACCCTATTTAGAAGTCTGGGAAAGGTGATTGTTTCTAATTTTATATGCACTGTAAAAAGCAAGCATTCATGATGGAACAATTTTGGCCAGTTCAGTTTTGGCTAGCTCGCTTCTCAAAGCTAAAGACAGGATCCGTACGTCCAATTTTCTCATTCGCACTCCGCAGACACACATCAGGCACCTACCAGGTTGCCAGAAAGCAGAATTGGGCTCTTTAAAAGCGTCTTTGTTCCGTAAGCACTGGAACGTGCAGTGGCAGAATCTCCCTATGCTGTTTTGCCTCTCTGCTTATAAAGTGATGGTGATCGTGTATGTAGATCCTTAGGGTATTTTCGTACCACCCAGAAAGCACTCGGCTCTTTCTCCAGCCAAAATAGCAAGGCAGACACACAAAGGAATCCAGAAACTGTTTCAGAGAGAGAATTTAAAATTTTCTTCTCACCTATAAAATCGACCGATTTATCCAACCAAGGCAAAATTTTCTCACAAAAGCTGTCGTTCACAGGCACTCTCAGGAAATGGGATTCTGGAATAAAATCAGGCTTTGGACAAGTATTGCTGGCGTTCAGTACGTAGCCAATATCATTCTGCTGCATCAGCTCCTAGGAAAAAGAGAAAGATTAAGCCTAGAGAAGTCAAATGGTACCTTTGGCACATTACGAAGCTGAAAACCAAACTGAAATTTGTGTTGGATCTGCTCTAGAGGCATTCTTTTGTGAAAAAGACAACTGATCAGCTTTTAATTCTTCAGACAACTTTTAACAAGAAATCCAGTGTGTCCAAACAACGTATGAACTGCAAAGCCCATAAAAACAAAGTTAACAACAGAAAAAACGGCAGGATACCTTCTGCTACTATGAGGCATCACCTCCAAGAGAATGAATGTTTTGCTGCTTTGGTTTAAGTTTTCACCATGAGAGCTGACGACCGAACCAAACACTTCCCACATGTAGTTTGCTGACCCCAGTACGTGTGTTCTGGATCACGTATCTAAAGCTGAGGTTGCTCCATCACAGAAATTGGTGAGAAATACAAAGTGAAACACATGGCTCCTGCAATCACCTCTTAAAGTGTCCCAGGACTTCCTCGTTTCTAAGGCAATGTGCAAAACTCCCTCAAAACCTTGAGAGAAAGAGCTGAGTACGAGCTGAAGACCTTGAATTAGACCATTTTCACACAGCACTGACTTTACAGAAGTTCTGCTTGGTGGTCCATGATTTAGTTGCTCATTTTCAGTCTTGAGTCCTCTTGCACCTCAGAGATTATCACAGCAATGAAACTCAAAGTATGAGTCAACTGGGCTTTTTAAATAAGTCAATTTTCATGACTGCAAATAGAGACACCTCTTTTCTGCACCTTGCCATATTCTTTGTATTGTGCAAGGCGGTATCTGATGCGGGAGGTACCTTGGTGCCTAAACATGTGGAACAGGTACTAGACGGTTCTACCAAACCCATCCAGCCTCCTGCAAGGAAGCATCTTGACACAGAAAACCGATTAAGCAGGTTGGAGCAATACTGATCAAACGACTGTCCTGGTTCAGAAATGATTTGGCAGTAAGTGACATTCAATACTATGCTTGGACAGTAGTTACAAACACTGGGGAGCTTTTGGCCAGATTTCTGTGGAAACTAATGTCTGAAATTAAACTGAAACAGAAAAAAAAAAAAAAAAGCCAAAAACCCCCTGATTTTAATCCTTTTGCTTTTACAGCAATTATATTTAAAAAGTTCTGTCAATCAATGGGAAGAGTGGCAAGAATGAATTCTTACACTGCAGATTTCAAGCAGAGGTCTACCAGTATGAAAATACAGTCATGAAGCATAACGGTCACTTCTTCCCCATAAGTTGTTTTTTTTTTTTTCTTTTTTTTTTTTTTCTGCAAGCATAAAGATGTTTTGGCGAGGAGAAACAGGGATATGGCTATTTAACTGAAGAGCCAGAACTCTACCTTGTTCAAGTCAGAGCAGTCTAAATGACACGTGCTTTTGAGTACACGCACGGTACGGTGTGTGTGCAGAGGGATGGACACACACACACAGGTATACACAAGCAGAAATGAAATGTTCAGTGAGAACAAAGGGCTGCAGGGGAGAAGGGAATCCACATCAGTTGTTTGCAGAGGAAAGCACGTGAAGTCCAGCCAGTAATGGTTATAAACTGGGAATTTACATGAATTTCTGTTAGCGAGCTGAGTTTTGTTCCCTGGAGCAAAATGAGCTGCTCCTCCAAACTTTCCCCCAAAGTCCCTCAGATCAGCACATTCAGAGGTGCCTGAAGGTGGAGGCACCTTAAACTAATGAACAGACATTATAACATAAACACGCCCGTCCCAGGGGAACGGGGGATGATCAAATCATCAGAAAGATAATTTGCAGCAATGGTAAAAAAATAAAATAAAATAAAAATCTGGGTTTGTTAAAATAAGTTTTCAGCATTACTGCTTCTTACCCTGCTGGTTTCCTAGGGGACACTCCCAGCGAAGCTCAGCTTCTCATCAGTGACAACAGATTTCAGTGTCACTGACTCCCCCTCTCCCTTCTTCACATCTCCCCAACTCAACCCGCCCTTCCTGCCTTTCACAGCCGGCTCCCTTGCACCTTCCTTTACTAGATTTACCTCTCACACACCAACAGGCCTAAAAGTTTAGAAGCAGGAGCACTGTAGGGGAATATTTGGAATGATCCAGAGAGGGAAGGTATTGGGAATCGGGTTCCTGGCACAGGGGACTTGCTACTGCCAGACTGCAAGGGAGCGTGCGAGGGAGCTGCCCCATCCCCGGCACCTCTGCCTCGCTGTCCTGGGTACACGGCTTTCCCCTCCGAGGATCTTAAGCTCTTCAGCATCAGCTTCTGTAAAATAAGCATCTTGCTTGAGGATCACTACGTTGGAATCCTGCCCCCAGACCAGCTCACCTACTGTTGTCACTGCCTGAAGGTGAGCGAGGAACAACCAAAGTAGCAGGTACAAAAAAAAAAAGACATGCAGGGTCATCAACATTATCGTGTAGAAAGGAGGGAGGTGATGAAGGTTTCGCTAAGGAACAGACTGCCATGGTGCACGTTTGTTCAGGATATAGCTAAGGGGGGCTGGTGAATTTAAAAGAATAGAAAACTTTATTATTTCTTTTAAAGCTTAAGCGCACAGTCTGACCATCACGATTCCACAGTTATGTAAGTTTTTTGATGTGGAATTGATTATTCAAATGGGAATGAGCAGGCTGCAGACGCCAAGTCTGAAATCTTCGAGCCAAAAAACACCCAAAAATGTGTTAGCGCTTGTCTTTGAGACTAAGGCTACAGCAAGAAGTTATGCCTCCTCCTCTTCTACAGTATCAGTCATTCCTTATGCAGCAGGCTCCAATATAATAACCGTAACAGTGCCTTCATTGTAAGGCACCCAAGAGGAAGAAGTGAATTACGATCGGAGGAAGATCCAGAAATCCTAATACTAACAACTTTCTGAAAAGGAGGTAAATGCTCTTTTGTCAGCTTATTTACATTTTATGACTTGTTTAATCTGAAAATTAATGGCACCCTCAAATGTTATTTTGTTCCAGGAAATAAAATCCAGGTCTGGAGGAAAAGAATTGTTATGTAAGTCGCAAAGCAGAAAGTTTTACAGTTTAAATGCTGGTATAAAACATGAGATAGAAGTAGGAGGCTCATTCAGGCCCGTAACAACAACACAGATTTTTTTTCTGTAACACAAACTTTCAGAAAGGACACTGTCACTCCCATGTAGCTTGGAATTTAGTTTGCTTCTCTTCCACAAAAAGCAACAAAGATCCTCTGTAAAAGTAAGTACCCTCTTGCAATGCCACCAATATATCACACTGAGACCCTGAAACAAACTTTTCTGTCAGAACTTTTATGAAGACCTTTTATGAGGTTTTTAGTATTTCAACAGTGCAAAAAAACCTATTATGTTTTCAGAATTAAGCATTTAGAAAGAAATCTGTAGAGCAAAAAGATAAAAAAATCTCCTAAGACTTTTCTGAAGTAATCATTCATTTTGCTAAAGGACACAAACCAAGCATTTGGGTTTGTGCATCTTTCGTAAATAAAGCATTACCAGCAGAAGTATAAATGGAAAATAAATAGCTTTAGTATATTCTTACAAGGTCATGAACATGGATTGTCCTGCACCAAGACAAGCATTTCCCTACTGCTGCCCTCAAAGAGCTTATACAGATCCTGAAAAGATAAGCTCATCTTGATAAAACATGCTGAAAATTCACATCTTTAAATCATCAGGTTGAAGAGCAGTGAAGATTAAGAGTTCTTCTTGCAGATATTCTTGAGACATTATGATTTTAGAGAAATCAGTATGTCTGGTCAATGGAAGGAATCATGGGAACCCACAGATAAAATCTGAAGGCAAAAATAAGGTCAAGGTATACAACTACATCTTAATAGTTTGGGGAATCTTACTAGAATTTTTCAGAAAATTATTTTTTAAAAATCTGGACTTGAATTAAAAAAACCAGAAAGTTGACTTCTTGTCCCCAGTAGCCAACAAACCAGCAAGGCCATTAAACCAGAGCAGGCAAACTTAACCCCTCAGCAGCCCCTGGACTGTCCTAACAGGCAGAGCTTTGCTACGTATCCCTGGGTTTTATTTCTTGCCCACTCCCCCTTCTGAACATTCTTCACTTTCCAGCTTTCCACCAAGTACTGGTATTGCTGGGCACTTGGTGTAGTAAGCGGCATCCTCCTTGCTCTCCCCAATACCCCTGTGCAGGATCCAGGCTTCCCCAGAAGCAAAGCACGTTGGAAGGAGAGCAGCAGAGATCCCCTGTCCGCGTTTGTAACGCGCTGATGCCTAGCGAACGCCAGGCTGACTTTTAGCTGAATCAAAAAACTGATTAAATCCGGGAAACTGGGAGTTGCCAATTGTTGGGAAAAACGCTGAGTGGATTCTAAGAGATTAGAAATTGTAATTTGTTCTCACGGCTTCTTTAGGTTAATAAGGTACCAGTGGTAAAGATGGAAGCCATTCTGAATTCTCCACAAGCACTCGCTGAAACTGAGGGAAAATAAGCGACCGACACCAAGGTCTACTTCAGTGCAGAGAACAAGAATGCTCAGAATAAATGCCTGCGTTTGTTCAAAGTCAGAGGAAAAAGGTACAAAAAGACAAGTAGATCTGAAATCGTAAGACGTGTCTTTGTCCTAAAATGGGTAAGAAATCTAAGAGGTGTTTTAAGCATCGATGGAAGAACTTCCAGAAGATTGTTAAGGATGACACCAGGCAGCAAGAGCTTACTGTGGATTTTATGCTGTTGGTTTTGTGGTTCTGCATGCAAAATGAGAAACACAGTAATCCTCAATCGTAACTCCCAAGGATATGTGAGGAAGTAACAAACCTGACCAACTCCTGGGGGGGGTCTGACATGAATTCTAAAGTAGCTGCAGCTGCAGGGCTGGCTTCCTTCCTTCGACACATCAAATACAATATCGAGATTGCAGATTAATAGGCAAGAGAGCCACCACCAGGTCTCAGCAATTCCTGTAGACAAGCTCTGCCAGGCTCAGGGCTCAGCAGCAATAGTTTCAGCATCCTCCAGCCCCGTAATGAAATTCCTGACGGCCGTTACCACTTGGATTCCTTTCCTGGTGAGGCACATGCTGTGCCCGTGCCCAACGCCTATTCATAGGCACCAATTTAATGCAAGGAAAGGGAACAGCCTCTTTCATCCCTCTGGTATTATTCACCACTTAAGAGCCACAGCACAGGAGTTCCAGTTGCACCCCAAACGAAGTAGCACATCCCTGGAGGAGAACAAGTTGCTCCCTCACTCCCACTGTGACCTAGGATAGCACTTGCCATTCCCATATTGAAACAAACAGCATAAAAACATCTTTCTAATACTCTACCATTGAAAGCAAAGGAATGTTTTTCTTTTTTTTTTAAATTCCTGCTGTCTTTTGTCTGGAGGCCACAAATTACTTCTGTGGTGGGAATAGTAAGAAACTGCTTTGACATCCATCAAAAGTTAATCAAGTTTGAATTGCTGAGTTGCTAGCTGGCAGTGAAGACACAGAAGATTTTAAGGGACAAAGTAAATACGATGACTGCTCACCGTCCCCCACAGAGAAGATTTTTCTGTGTGCTCTATTAAAGCACAATTACCTTCTACATGATTGCTTGTGTGTCAAAAATCCTCTTAAAACAACTGTGCAAAATCTAGAAATATCCTATTAGTGGCCAGACTGGGATGGAGTAAAAGTAGAAACCAGTGAAAAATATGTAATGCTCAAAGTATATGAATTTGACACAATTACAGGACTATTAGGTTAGGTTCTGCCTTAAGCTTTATACATGGATAAAAAACCCATACACATTCAGTCTTGCACATGATTAAGGCAATATGCTAGGGCAAAGCACTCCTCCCCTCTCCCCATCCACGAATTTAATGCCAGCTTACGAAGGCTGTTGGAGATTCAACTAATGAATAAGACTGTCAGATAATATGGGAGGCAAGAGAGCACATGCGGCAGAAGTAATAAAAATTCCCTTGTGAAGGGACCCAAGATGCAGACTGCAAGCCACTGAGTTGGTCTTCACATGGAGGCAAACATCTCTGGATATACATAGAAATATGGGCCTGTAGCAACTTGAGAGAAGCTCTTTTAGACATCTGCTCATCCAGCACCCTGCAAGTGCGATATCTGATGACATTGCTGTCTATTTTAAGTATACCAAAACATCCTGGGCTATTCTTTAGGAAGAGATATTATTAAATGCATATGTATTTAGGAAGAGTAGAAGTGTCACAGTGCAGTGCTACCACAAAAGCTCATTTTTAATAACCCCACTGATCGTCCAGGTCTGAACATCTGATTCAGTGTACAAAGGTTTGCTCGCAGTAGTCCCTCATTATACAATTCATGGTATTTAAATGCTGTTTTTTCCAGCACTTGAAGGAAGTACTAAAAATCAGACAATATTCCTTTGTCCTACCGTAACCGTTAATATAATTGCAAGTACCTGACCTGCTGTAATGGCAGATTTGAGAGTTTGCTGTTGGTTGATAGGTTACCAAGGAGGGTACTGTACCATCTTCTCCCAGATGAAGGAGAAAGAAGACTGAGTTTCCTATTATGTGGCACGTGGATTAATTACCTGGTGTGTGTATCATTAGTTCTCACATAGCCTTCCATGCCTTATGCACAGACAACTACTATCGATACCTACTTCAGATGTTTTATAGCATGATGCAGCAAGACAGGAGCATGGACAAGGACAGATGGAGATTATATACTCATCCAAACCAGGCACGCTCACCTTGTTGAGGACATCCCGCTGACACCCAAGATAGAGATGAGGCAGGATTCTGGTTGGGCCAATGTTGGAGACAGGTAGGCAGGGCTGAGAAATGCAAGTAGGGATAAGCGTGGATTTTCCTTCACAGAGACCTGGGAAAGAGCTGGAGAACTCAGCAAATCCACCTGTGAGAAGAACAGTATGTATTTAATTTACATGCAGCGTTGTAGGCATCGGTGACCATACCAGCTCCTGGAAAGCAGCACTTGTTGAAGGAGACGGGGAGGAGTTAAGGGGCAGGAGGAAAACCTTAACAGAGGACCCACACGTGTGCCTCTTCCAGAGGCAGCATGACTATGTGGAACCATCCATCAAGCAGGCAAGGCCTGGCTGCGTATTCACACTCTGTCTGGAATGTTTATTTCTCTCTCTCTCTCCATTCCTCAGTTTTTGACACTTCTTCCCACTCTTAAAGATACGTGGAAACGAGACTTTAAAAACCCAGCCACAACGCCCACCACACCAAAAGCACACACACCTTTTCCTCTCTGCCCCAGCAAGCTGTTTTCTAACACCGTCTTTCTCCTGCACTAGGTCTACAGTTAGACTGCATTAAGGAAAAGTAATGTTTACTCAATTTGGTAAAATCAATATGTGGTTATTAATGTTTGCTTTTAAAATCCTATATTATTATTTTCTATGCTGCTCCATAATTAATATATTTCATCCAACACCCTGGAAGAGGTGTCGTCTTTCAAAACCACACCAAGACATCTCAAGTGGGCGAGGTGAGGCAAAAGGAAGACTTCACCCAGCCACGGACTCCCCGAGCAAATCCCCACGCGTCTCTACTCCCTGTACTGCTGTCTGCTTCTTCATCTGCACCAGTTATTAGACCCTATTCACATTATGGCTCTGGAACATTTTCATTACCATTTTCCAACACTGCATTACACTGATAACATTTAAATCCACCCAAAATCCCAGTTGCCATCAGAAATGCTCTTTCACCATCAGCACGTTGCAGCTGCTATGGAACCTGAAGGGAATAAAAATCAAGGCTGAAACTGCTCTAGACACAAATACATACAACAGCTCAAGCTCCCATTTCTTTTTCTTGCTTGCCTAGTTCTCTGCTTCCCTCCCATCACAAGGGCTGCATTATAAATCTGTGCTACCAGCTGTGGTCCAACTGGCCTTACTCACAGTTAGAAAACAAAACTGAAGAAACTTCCAGCACCAAAATTATACTTTGACTAAACACGTTCTCAGAAAAGGTGGCTAGCTTTTTCCAAGCCTAGCTAAACCCCAAGCTCAGCTCATTCTCATACTTCCTAACTAGTCTTTGCAAAGTAGTCTGAAGAAGGACCAGAGGCAGCAGCTTGAATCAGTATGTTATAGGCTCTTCTTGACTGTTTTCACCATTTAAAAGCCAACCAGTAAGGGTAATAAAGTCACAAACCACAGTGAAACCCCAGCTATTCCCTCAGACTAAAGCACAGAGGCAAGTGGAATTTTAATTGAAGGAAGAGTAATTATAACCTGTTCAGAACGAGGCACCTTTTTATCATCAAGGAAGTGAAGTATTAATGTGTTAAATCTGCCAAATGCCATGTTCACTATTATTACAGTTTGAAGATGTAAATTAAAATTATTCAAGAATAAGATAATGTAATGTTTTGTCAAGGCTTGCATTACCATTGCCTGAATTATGCCTATTTTCTAGCTTTTAAAATCTGTACCTGTAGTGATTGTAGAAAAAAAATCAAGGCAAGGCAATAGCCATGTGTGTAACAGCCCACTTGATCTGATAAACAAAAAAGCCAGCAAGCAGATCTCAGAACAAAAATTTTATGAACATCGATTCCTGTTCAGTCTCCTGACTTACCACCCCCCCCCCAAAAAAACAACAACAAAAAAAAAACAAAACAAAAAAAAAACCCAACCACTTGTCTATTTTGTCATATAATGGATTTTGGACATCCATGACAATGCTCATCATGAGAACACGAGGGTGAGACTGTATGGGACAGAGAAAGGCTAAGCTAAGCCCATCGCAGAGCTACACCTCTAAACTGAAGGACCTAGGCTAAGGAGACAGTAAAAGTTTGTCTCTGACATTTTCTATTCCTATTAGCTGGGATTCCTCCTCCTCGCTTTACAACCTCCCCGTTCAGAAGCGCAGATCAATGTATCAATCAAATGACAGAAGGAGTTTGCAAAACAATTCTCTCGCATACTTGCTAAATATTCTTCCGCATGGCATAATGTTTTCCCCTCTGTCACAGGAAGCAATCCTTCAGTTTACAGGCATTTTATGTCTCTCAGATTAAATTTTATGTAAAATACGGTGCCCAGCAGTTCCTTGAGATGTTGGGGGGAAGAAAGGGAAATCAAATATCAGTCTTTGGTTTCATTTGCTTCTTTATTTCTTGGGAAGCTTGTTGGCTGTTTTGTGGATCCTCTCTCTGACACAGCTGGAAATAAGAGAAGTGACTCTTCTTCCTTACAAAGAAGCAGCACAAAGAAAAGGTTTTCACATCTGTGCTTTCTTTGCAAAAGGCTACATGAGCGAAGTTCAACACCATCAAAAAAAGAATTTTCCCAACTACCTACAGATTGATATCAATTGTGTATGAACAAGAAATTAAGCAAGAAGATAATATGTAAAAAACCCTGAGATTTTGGGAGATGGAACCCATGTTCTGTCTTCATAAGTGTAAGGAGCAATATTTTATTTTATTTTATTTTATTTTATTTTATTTTATTTTATTTTATTTTAATTCTAGGGCACTGTCAAGGCAAATTTGAAGTGATTCAAGATTAGATGTTCCAACACTTCCTCTGGGGCATTCATCCTTTCAAAGTCATGTTTCTTTTCTCTACTCACGCTTTCCTAGTAACATGTTGCTTCAGTATCTTTACCTCATGAACTACAACCACAAAACTCTCAAACGGGGTAAGTCTAACATTATATGACCTATCTTTACACATGTTGCCAAGTCAGCCCTCCTTTTCTTTGGAAATATTTTAACCTGGCATTAGTCTCAGTAGTGAACTGACTTGAAAAAGCATGAAATCAGTGATATGTTTCAAATATTAATCTATCTTCCTTGGCATCTTCTGTAAGCATTTCAAAAAGTTTGTAGCTTTTCAACAGATCTGGCTTTGATTTATGGCACTCACAAAAGGAGAAACACCTTCTAGATCAGTGTGTGTTGGTAACCGCTTAAAAAAAAAAACAAACCAAAAACAACACACAAACAAACCCCATACCAACAAAACACACTGGTGTATGCATCCCGCTAAACTACCAAAATCTTCTAGTGCAACAGAGATAGTCTGGAATGACAGCATCCACATGTATGATCACTGAGCTCTCGTGTCATTATGAGTCCAACTTCCGTTCTAAGGAACTGCACTCATCACTATTTGCTTGCATTAACGTAAAAAAACATATCTATTTTTTAAAATGCATAGGTATATTAAAAAAATAACAGCACCTAAAGATGTGTAGAAAAAAAAAATTATTTATTTCACATTTCTAACACAGGTTATGGCCCCCTGAGTCCCCAAAGCTGAAGTCTACACACTGTCGACAAGAGAAGCCTCTTATGAGAGAAGAGCTTTAAGCACTCAGACTACCTGTACACTGATGGTCTAAACTCAGAATCACAGAACCATTCAGGTTGGAAAAGCCCCTCGGGATCATCGAGTCCAACCCTCAGCCTGACTCTACAAAGTTCTCCCCTACCCCACATCCCCCACAGCTCATCCCAACGGCCCTGAAACCCCCCCAGGGATGGGGACTGCCCCCTCCCTGGGCAGCCTGTTCCACTCTTGGGCCACTCTTGCTGGGAAACATTTTTCCCTAATTCCCAGGTGAACCTCCTCTGTTGGAGTTTAAAGCCGTTCCCTCTTGTTCTATCACTATGAAGCAGACCATCCAAAAACCAAACTTTAAACATTTGCAAAATGAATTTATTCTAGAGGTAGGAATGCAGAATAGAAAATTGAGCCTTAAAAGACAGACAAAACAGGTTTAGTTTCGAATTCCAGAATCTGAGGATGACCTTTGCATCAAGGAAAATTTCATCCTTAAAGCTCTTTACCTACCTCAGTTGGAATAGGGTTATTGGCAGCACTGTGTAGTTTGTTTTAATAAAAGGAAATACATTTTTCGGCTGGAGCTAGTTTCTAAATAACACCCATTCTCCCACCACTACTCCACCCTCCGCAAATAATAGATCAATCACAAGAGCATGTTGAAACTGGGGGGGGGAAGTCTACAGGTCATTAACAGAGCTAGTGGGTTAAAAAAATTTCACTGAAGTCTTTGATAAATATAACTGGGCCCTAGAAATGGATGACTGACAAATAACTCCAAAATATTCTCTCCTAAATAGCTATAAACCATATGGGTCTTCTGTATTCTTGATGGTGAAGCTGAGCTGAAACAGCTCTTGACATTCAACAGGATGAAATCACTTCTTGTCTATTTGAATGTTAACAGACCGAGGAAGGAAGAAACTGAGTATATTGTATTTATGTATAATAAATATATCTATAAAATTTTACTTGTGGTTAGAAAGGTCTCCCCTGCCCACTCGGAGGCTTTTGAAGTTTTTCATTCTACTTTTGCTGGTATCGATGAATTGTATGGAAGACTGTTCCATCACCACTCACGCAGTAGTTCCATCACATCTGAAAACCTTGGTAAGCAGCACAACGCACCTCCTCCTTCAGTTTTAAATAGATGTTTCTATCATGACTGCACATATATAAGTCATTTTATCTTTTAGTTGGTAGCAAGTAGCTAACAGTACTCTGAAGTCTGTCTTTCTTGAGTAATAGGCCCTACCCAAGTTTGAAGGAAAAAAAAATAATCTTTGGAGATGATGACTGCCATCATTATGGGATCAAATTCAAGCACTATGAGACAGAAGTGATTTCAGACTTTATCATCCAATATATTTTCCAACATGAAAGCAAGACATATCAAAGTAGTGGTGGTAAATGGTGATGTTCAGCTGGTTGTCCCTTACGTTTCTGAGACAAAAATGAATTAATGAAAATTCTGCTCTGATTTTAGGTGATCCATCAGAAGACTGCAAAGTCCTGGAACTGTCCCAGGGTAACTCAGCTCTTGCTTAGGTAGCTTGTTAAAACGAACAGACTGGTGAAA